ACGGTTTATCGATTAATTTCAGATACCATCAGATTCGGGTACATCGACTCCTAATTTCGTTATTATTTTGGCAGCTGTCCTGCAGCCACACTTGAGACAAGACTTTGGATCCCACTGCGCCAAAACTCCGGCTAGAAATCCAGCAACCAGCGAATCTCCAGCCCCAGTTGTGTCGACTATCGGTTCCTTTGGTTTCTTTGGATGAACCTAAATAAAAAATCAAATGACCATAATTTTTTTTATTCTCATTCTCGAGAGAATAACTAGATTGATTCCAAGATAATAGAATGTAAATTGTATTTGATAATCATGTGATCAATCATTTTTTCAATTGATCGACATTTAATAAAGAAATTTGTAAATAAATTATGACTCGAGCGTTCAGCATTTTTTACTCAGCTCACTTTACCTCTCCAATCGATGTAATCGATTATCAATGAATGAATTACCTGTGCCGAATGACCTTCACCCCAGACGACAATTGCTGGCGCCGATCCGCCCTGCGTCATTACAAATATATCGTTGTTTGTCAGCCAGTCATCTTCAATATTTGCACTCGCTACACTCACTGCTACTCGTTTAGAGCTATTCAATAAGAAAGGAATGTCCGTGACATTTTCAAATTGAATATTCAGGGCGTTTGCTAGAGCTGTCATTTCCCTCGCATTACCGAACACAATTTTTGCAAGACCAACCATCTCACAAATTGCTGCTTGATGTTTCTAGAAGCCAAACAAAAATCATCACTCTGACATCAATATTTAAAAACCCAGAATATTTCCTACAATAATTTTGACTAAATATCATATAATGTCTGTTGTTCGTTTCTTTTTCATTTTTATATTAGAAAGGGTAAACCTGTAAAATCAGACATTCATTGAGATATTTTTGATATTTAATAGATTTTCTTGTGAATCGTATTTACTTACTTCAAATATATATTCGCCACTAAGGTTAAACGCCACAATGATATTTTTACATTTTTCTTGAGTAAGTACGATGATTTCTTTGGCAACATCTAAACTGTGTGTGAGGAAGAACCCTTCGATGTAGATTATCTTGAGTCCATCGAGAGGTAGATTGCTCCGTTTTAGATCTATCAGTGTGTAAACACTCGCAGCCCCTAAATTAGCGACGAGAGAACGAGATTGGCCGCATATCAGGGAAATGCATATGCCTGTGGGAAGGGTAGAATGGATTGCATATCTGAAAAAAAATGATTAACGGTTTGCAAATATGAAATGTATTATTGAAATTTTTTGATACGATTTTAACCGTTCAATTATTATTCAGGTACTCACTTGGTTTGTATTCCATCTGCTTTCACTAATTTGTCAAGGCTGGAGCCTCTACAATCATTTCCTACTCCTCCACAATAAATAACAACTGGTGAGACACGTTTACCTCCACAAAGCCATTGGAGGAGTCTAGCTGTGTTCTGAGCACAGCCTCCTGGAGTAATTCTCTTCTCACATCTAGAAAATGTTATTATTATACGAAATATTCTTGTGAAGAATATTTATTGATTACGAAATGTATGAGCCTCGAAAATTAATTATAAAATGATTATTTCTGGAGTGCATTAGTAAACTAGGCCAAGTGCAATTTCATCTGCAATCAGTTATCACTGAATATCTCGTAATTGAAGAGGGATCGAGGAATTTGTATATGAACCTTTTTTATAGGGCTATATGTGGACTACAAAAAAGACATATATGAAATTTTCTCTGTCTCGCCTCATCTAGAAGATATTCACAGATCTGTGGGGCCAATCCAAATAAGAGTTAGCATAGGAACGAGCAAGTAAGATAAGAAATATTTACAGTGATAAATCAGCTAAAATCTGTGAAATTTTTGTCTCTTCAATCTCAATCTCTCCATCCATCGGAAGTTGATACTTTTCCAAGATACTCTCGTCTTCAAGAGTAACAACGAAATCCATAAGTGGATTCCCAAACATGACAACTGCTGGGGTCTTTAAAAGATGGACCGCCTTAGCCAAAGTTTGTTTTTCCACCATTTTTCAATCTACACCAATCAGAATTTATTTAATTTCGGCGGTTAATTTTGCCGTTCTGGCAGTTAATTTAATTTCATGATTTTCACGTGACCAGCAATCTTTTTTTTTCAGGAGCTACTTTCAATTTTAATTGAATTCTCAATATCTTGACAATTACCTGAGTTAGTACTATTTCCAAAATTTTTTGTTATGATGTGGATCTGAAAATTATAATTTCATTGAATATTCAAAAGAATTTCAAAGAAATATTTCAATTAAAAATCGTTTTCTTACTTGATAGCTCAAGAGTTATTTTTGGCACACTATTTTTTGCAGAATAACCTCAACTCAATCTCTCGATTCCTCTCATTTAACCAACCATAATCCTTCACAAATTCTTCCATCCTAGAATAACCACTGAAACAATAAATATCAAATCCTCCCCTGCATTAACACACATGTGTTTATTGGCCTCTCAAGGTCTGCCCACCCTTGACTGATTTGCAATGCTTGACATGTTAAAAAATTCCTGAGTTCCGTTTTCCCGTAACAAAAAAGAATCCATTGCACCTGTCAAGGAAGTCACACAAAATAAAAAAAGCTGGTGTCACTCGCAGAATTCCCACGAAGAAGAACAACTCCAGATTCTCCTCTCGTCATTGACATTGAACTTTTGATGTACCTGTCAACATTATTGGCATTTCCACTGGAAATTCTCCAAATTCCCTGATTTTCGTGGAGGTCAGAATAATTTTGTACTACAGTTCACAGAGATTTCGTTGATGAGTCGATAAAACCAAGATTAATGCAGTGTTAATTAAAGAGTGAATGCTAACAATTACTCGTTAAATTTACGGTTTGGACACTTGGATCAATACTAAAGGGAACTCCCTGTTTTGCCCATGAGATACAGCAGCGCTACCTGACCCACTGAGTTTGCACCCTGAACAGCTGTTTTCCGGCGGCGATCAGCTGATTATTGGAGTCTAGACGCACCGGGCTCCACCCGCATATGTTGATATTAAGTTGGAAATAGCTGTCGTTTACGCCACGAATATTTATAGGCTGCAGCACAACAAGACGCAAGATCTTCGATATTTATTATAATATTTCCAACGTAATACTTCAAAATGAAATGTCTAAAGCCGATGATCGCATTGATGATGGTATATTAAAGGGTAAAAGGTAGAGAGGATACTTTAATTAATTCTATTGTGCTTCCTCTGAAGATTCTTTGCGTTCCTTAACACGTGTTACAGCCAGGGAAGATACTCGAAACACGATGGCAACTTCGACAGCTAATTTTAGTCCCTGTGTTCCGTCACAAACGTTCTGTGCTTGCCAGAGACCACATCTTAAACCACCTTGAGTTCCTCCAGATATTCGTAATGGAGAAAAATAAAAGGTTAATTTTTTTATTCATTTAAATGCATGTATCCACCGTGATTTAAAAATCTTCGAAAGGAATTGGATATTTCTGGAGCATTCAATCACTCGAGATATGAGGGATTAAAAAAAAATATTATTGACAGATGAATTTTTGCTGTGAAAATTAATCTGGATAGAAAATCTCATTCGATTCACTTCCGGTTCAATTTGTAAATGTGATATATCTCTGGAATATTTTTAATTATTTCGCAAATGTTTTCTGAATAGTAATTCATTTCTTTTTTACTCACTCTGCAGAAAATCACTCGCTCAGTTTCATAGTTTCATCTACAATACAGCGAATACACAACTGTTCATGAGAGAATTCCGGAAATATTCAGAAATTGGAGACAGACACAGTATGGTAGAGATGATATTGGAGCTAGATCAAGTCTCCAATGCGGATGTGAATGCCCTATTCATTCCGAAGAACAGCGAAGAAGCTGAAAAACTGTATAATGACGTAATTTCTGCTGAAGGAGATGGAGACAAAATGTCGAACCTATTGAAAATAAACTTATTGACACGAGCACTTTTTGCAGCAGAGGCTGAAACTCTTCTCAAGGTAAAGATCACCATAGCAAGAGCCAAATACGAGTTTAATACTCAATTCTATCACAAGTGCTGTAAAGATTGTGATTATGCATTACAACTGTTGAAAAATCTGCAAAGTTCAGACCCTCAGAATGAATTAGAAGCTGAAAAGATGAAGACGATGTGCAATTTATTGAAATCTCAGAGTCTGAAACAGTCAAGAAAATCGAATAAACCATCTTCTCCTTCGTCTGAAAAGAAACTCCCCAGAATCGATGGCAAACCCAACAAAAAACTCAAGTCCTGCAGCGATGCAGTTGCTTTAATCTACGAGAACGCCAAAGGCAGACACTTAATCGCAACGAGAAACATCAAAGCTGGAAGTGTTCTGATTGTCGATGAGCCTTTTTCTTTCAGCACAGATGAGACTGCACTCTCTACCAATTGCCTTCACTGTCACTCATCCCTCCAGGGGGATGATAACATCGCAGTGCCTTGTTCGAGCTGTCAGACTGTAAGTCAAACTGATTTTATCTTACATTTTGCTTTTGCTTCCGAATGAAAACATTGTCAGCATCAAACGTTTCTAGGGCGTATTTTTGTTGAGATTCTCCTTCAATAATCGCAAAAACTTAATCATTCGGAAGCAGATTACTAACTCATTAGATCAAACATAAATATGTGGAATTGACTGAATACAATTATCCACTTGTTTAAATTGATTTTGCTTGGTATGGCTTATATGTAGGTTTCCTTCTGCTCCGAGGAGTGCCGATCAAATGCCTGGGATAGTTACCACAAATACGAATGCATGATTTTTGATAATTTTTTGGAAAGATCCAGAACTTGTGATGCCAAATCGCACGTACTGCTCGCCTATAGAACAACTATAGCAAAGGCAATTAGAAAAGACTCTGGTGTACTTGATGCTGAATTTTTGTGTTATCAAGACGCTAAATGCGAGGACGCAAAAAAATCTCTAGAGATTGATATCAAGAGTGACATTTATGATCCTCTGGATTATAGAACTGTGTTTTCCTTAGAGACTCATTGTGAAAAGGCAGATGCAAAGGTCAATCTATCACGCTCTATAAAATCTGTATACCTGGCAAAATGCTTGGCTTTTGTATTGATGGAGGTTGATGAGAGGAGTAGAGAGACCATTGGACAGAGGGAAATTGCCCTACTAGCAGTCGCTATGATGCGACATATGCAAGCAGTCAATTGTAATGCTTACGAGATTGTTGAGAATTTTAGAAACGAGAATACGAGGACATGGGAACCACGCAATGTCGGTGGTGCTATTTATAGCTCTGTCAGTCTTGTCAATCACAGTTGCTATCCGAATGTTGTCAGGCACTCATATCCTGGAGGTAAAGATAAATTATTCGTCAATTTAATTGATATCAATACTTCACCATAAATAAAATTCAATTGACAAATAAAAATTATTCATTCATTTAATTAATTATTTGACAGTGAGTCTTCCGTCTCAGGCTTTCGCCCACTCATTGATTTTATTTGACGTTTTATCAAGATCATTTCTATAAAAAATTTCGCTTTTAATTTTCTCCCTTTTTTTTATATGTAATAATAGTAATGGTATGGAATATACCTCTTTTTTTTCAACAGGAAAAGTTGTTGTTCGCTGTTTGCGATTCATTGGAAAGGGCTCCGAGATTCTTGATTGCTATGGACCCCACTTCATTACAGACTCGCTGGAACTTCGCCAACAGTACTTGATAGAGAAATACCACTTTATTTGCAGGTGCGAACCATGCAAATCCGACTGGAAGTTTCCATTTCCCGATGAAATAACCTTTCGCTGCATCTCATGCGGAAATTCACTCGATTCTCTTCATTTGAGGTGTACTGAATGCTCTCAGAAGTTCGATATCAGAAAATTACGCTCTCAGCTAGAAAAATCAACGAAGAAAAGAATTCTAGCTGTTGGAAAAATGTACGACGGACATTACATCGATGCACTTCCATTATTACTCGAACACTCTGGCTTTGTTGATAAGACATTGATGGCTCCGTGTCTTGAAGCCATTAAAACACAACAATCGATTATACAGTGTTACAATAGTTTGTCGAGCATTGTGAAAATCAAGTAGATTTTCTTTTTCATTTTCACATTCACAACTATTTCATTCTCGACTCGATCAAGAAGATATAATGACCAATTTCTTCAATTATCCTTGAATTAACATTACAAATATCCGCATTACGTAGGTCAATATCATTTTATATCCGTTCTGCAAGAGTTTAATTGATGATTATCAATTCACATTACAATTAAATTACCGATCTTAATTATTTTTATTGTCATTAAAGTGCAAGTAAATAACCATTTATTTTATTCAACTTATAAATAACAATATAAATAAACTTCAATTTCATAATTGTAATTTTTCATTATGATTCCTTTAACAGCTTGACTTCTTAATTGCAAAGGGCTTTCAACATGCGCACATTAATTATTCATCACACAATTATTGTTCCTAACGATAAAACACGTGAGACACATATAGTTGACATCTCTTTGATTTTTTTTCTTAAATACCAGCAAAATATTTCATTTTTTGTTTTATATTTTGCGATATTAACATTGAAATTGTACTTTGGATTGCAGTACGACAGAGTCTCGCGATAATTTGTCATATCTCTCTCTGGTACCATTGATTAATGACACATTGATTCGGTAGTGAAGTGAAAAGAGAAAATGGTTGTCTTATGAACATTTTTTAAATTCATGGCGCAAAGGATGAATTTCTCTTTATTGTAATAATTACATCATTTGCTTGAAGATTTTGTCCAATGATGGGCAAAAGTCTGTATTAAATACTAAATAATTCAATACTCGAGCATTTAATTTTCTTCTGATTATCGAATTGAAATTATTCTCTTAATTATATATTGATTGATAAAAAATATTTGAATCAGAATAATTTGCATAATAAAAAAAGAAAGATCAGTACGAAATGATGAAGAATTTAGTATTTCAATAAAAGAGTATTTAGTTTTGCCTATCATTGAGTTTTATCATTTTCATTTAATTTTTATCTCTAAACCCCGCAGTTTTTTGACATACGTGAAATGATTGCCTATTGGTGTTGATCTCATTTCATTTCACTACTCGCGAAATATACATTTTAAATTCACGCTTATTCGATACTTCCACAATCAACGTTTACTAAATTTAAAGCGGGACAACCAGGCCCTCTTAGATGCTCTCCACTTTCCAATAAGGCATTTTACAATAAATAATTTTACTCGATTATCACTT